AGAAAGGTCATGTAAATTATGACCTAATGACCAATGAGGCTGGACAGAGAATGGATTGAGACCAGCCCTGCCAAGAAGGATTTGGTAGATGAGAGGTTGGACCTGACCTGGCAATGTGTGCTGCAGCCAACTGTGTGCTGGGCTGTATCAAAAGAAGTGTGGCCAGCAGGCCAAGGGAAGGGATTCTTCTTGTCTGCTCCAGTCTTGTGAGACCACACATGGAGTACTATGTCCAGCTTTGGGGTCCCCAGTATAAGATGAACAAGGACCTGGTAGAGCTAGTCCAGAGAAGAGCCAGAAATCTGGTCTAGTGGAAGATGTCCTTGCCTATGGCAGGGGAGCTGGAACTAGATGGTCTTTAAGGTCTCTATCAACCCAAGCCATTCTATAATTCTGTGTTTTGATATGCTACTAATATCCACAGCCCCTGTTATCATGGGGCATTAATTAGACAAGACAAGACAGAAAGAAGAAAAAAATATCTTCATATGCCCTGTTTGCCTGTTCCCAGGGGAAAAAGCCCAAACAAACAAACTTATTCCCCTAGATAAAATAAAGGAAAGTTTATTTCCAGTAGACCCAGTGCAAAGAATTTAAATTAAAAATATATTTACTGCCCACTGCTACAGTTTAAAAGACAGCCATCTCTGCATCCTGTGTATACATGGCAAGTTTATGTGTGTCTGTTAATAACAACTGAATATAGTACTTGGGGTTCTTAGTGCACAAATCATGAGTAAAGCTGTGCTATGACACCTACTTCTAAGATGTTTGTTTGTTTGAAATGTAACATAGACAACAAGCGTATCACCACGCTGACTGCTATCACCTGTAACAGCAAATAATCTTCTTTATGTCTTGATCCATTAAAGTGCAGTCATTCTGAAAGTTTACAAAAGCTGTAAGTATCCAGCTCCTCCTTCTGGTACTGCCTCATGACTCCAGACTGGGGTCTCAGTGAATACTATGTTAAATGATAAATGCAGATCAAATTCCTATCCCAAGGGGCTGACTGAATGGGGCCTACAAGGGAGCCAGAGAGGGACACTTTGTTAGGAACTGCAATGACAGGACAGGGGGTAATGGGTTCAGACTGAAGGAGGGAAAGCCTAGGTTGGATGTGAGAAAAAAGTTTTTGCTATAAGGGTGGTGAGAGATTAGAACAGGTTGCCCAGGGATGTTGTGACTGCCTCAACCCTGGCAGTGTTCAAGGCCAGGCTGGATGAGGTCTTGAGCAACCTGATCTAGTGGGAAGATGTCCCTGCCCAGGGCAGAGGGGGGTTGGGACTAGATGATCTGTAAGGTCCATTCCAACCCCTAAAATCTATGATTCTATGATTCTATGGCTGTGGCAGAAGCAACAGCTAAATGCTGAACAGGCACGCTTTGATTAAAAAAACAGTGAAGAGAGACTGTTTTTCAGGCTTAAACAATCCTAAGCATCTTAAGTCAAAATTAGGTAAAATAAGTAAGAGACCTCAGGAATCTGAATAGAATCTGCCTCACAGCAGTAAAACAGGATGTACCTAGCACGTACATTAACATTTATTAACCTAACCTTTAGACTTGCAATGAAGGCTTTCTGACCTACTTAGATAAATTGTTCCAATGTTTAATGAAACTTAGAGAAAGAAAGATTTGTTTTTTCACATATCAAATCTATTTTTTGTCTGCAAATGAAACCAACGATTCTTTGATCTCCTCACAGCAGAAATTAGTTAGAAATGATTGCTGTCCTTTTCATAACAATTTTTTTCTTGTTGAATATTGTTGAGTCCCCATTGGCATTCCAGTCTATAAGGGGAAAAAGTCCAGCTCATTAAGGTTTTCTCTATGTTTTTGATATTTAAATAATAGGGCACTGTTTTCTGGTTTTATTCCCCAGAGCTTTCACCCTACTTTTTCCATTTTTTTCAAAGTGTTCCCACCAGCAGGAGTCTGGAACTAGGTAATCTTTAAAGGTCCCTTCCAACCCAAATCTTTCTATGATTTGATGAACATATCATGCCCTACTTCAAAACAGTGCTCCAGTTCGCCCTTTCAAGATAAATACTTTGCTCTTTCTCTCCATTCTTCTTGGACCATCTCCTCTATATTTATTCTCTAAGACGACTTCTAATAGTTCAGAGATTTCTTTGGCTGAACCTTCAATTTATTCATTTCTCCAGGCTCTTCCGGTTTGAATAAATTTGACTTATTCAGGTGGTCTTTAATCTGCTATTTCATTTTTCTCATTTCTATCCCTGTCCTCTTCAAACTTATTTAAAATATCTGCTCGTAATTAACCTCTTGTTTTTAAATTTGAGGCAGAAAAAGTATTATTTATTTCCGTCTTCCCCGCAGCCTCCCTTATTTGCTCTCCTAATCTCACAAGTAATGGAATAAAATTTTCTCATCTCCTTTCCTCTTAAGTAGTCATAGGCCATTGACTGTCCAGCAAATAAAAAATTGCTGTACTTTGTTCATGTCATGTTAGTACCACATTGACCCAGAGCCAAAGACCCTCTGAACCTTCCTAGAACTGCTCAGTGAACTAAACTCCACTGTAAATGTTGTCAGTGACATTAGCAATGAAGCTGAAGGAACAGAATTTTACAGTGACTGTGGTGTTGGAATTGTCAGAAAATGATGAGAAAAACATGGATTTGTATCCTTACTGGGAAAGAGGAATAGACCTGCTTCTCTGGGGAGAGCAACAGAGGCTGACTGTAAAACTTGGTATCAGAATAATGTGGGAAAACCAGTCAGGGAAAGATTTCTTCTTGTGGCAGCAAGGTAATTACTGCACTGTGTTCCCCAATACCTGTATTTGTGCAATAGAACTGAAGTTATGTGTAAAAGGCAATAAGTGAAAATTTTGCATTCGTGTAATGAAAGTCATAAGAAAATCAGTGCCAATTTTCATCTTCATAGAACTTACAAATATCACTATTTTTTCCTTAATATACTACTTGTTCTATTTGGGGAAAGAAAAAAAAAGCCTAGAGTTTAATCACAGTATTTTAATTTTCAATATTATCACAAATTTGTGCATACGTATTAGTGTATACTCTTGGGTAGTCCTTCATACATCTGTCTGACAATAAAGTCTCCCTCCATTAGTCATTGTGTGCCTACCCTAAGATTAAATGCTCCCAGGCACTCATCACTGAGAATGTGATGTGCTGAAATTTAATAATTAATAACAACCAAAACATGGCAAAGATGCAATTGTGAACATCAGCTTGTAGGAGGGCAGACAAGTGAGGTTTTGCAAAAAGCAGAAAAAAAGGCAATATTACTGTTAATTACTGATGGAGCTCATATAGCATTTCTTCACCCTTTCCAGTGCAGGAGTACATCCAGGGCAGGGCAACGGAGCTGGTGAAGGGGCTGGAGCACAGATCTGATGAGGAGCATCTGAGGGAGCTGGGGGTGCTTAGCCTGGAGAAAAGGAGGGTCAGGGCAGAACTTATTGCTGTCTACAACTACCTGAAAGGAGGTCACAGCCAGGTGGGGATCAGCCTTGTCTCCCAAACAACAAGAGGAAAGGTCTCAAGTTGTGCCAGGGGAGGTTTAGATTGGATATTAGGGAAAATTTCTTCTTCAAGCATTGGAAGAGGCTGCCCGGGGAAGTGATAGTGTCTCCATCCCTGAAGGTATTTAAAAGATGTGCAGATGTGGCACTGAGGGACATGGTTAGTGGTGGACTTGGCAGTGCTGGGTTAATAGTTGGACTCAATGATTTTAGGGGTCACTTCCAGCTTAAATGATTCTGTGACGCCTATACCATTAAATTAAACCACACCAGCACGTGGGCTCTGGAAGTGGTGACCAGCCAGCCTGGTCCACACCCTGTGGAATACTTACACACTTGCTTTAAGCATAGTATAAAATTGCACTGAAGTCATTCAATCTGCAGCTTTACTCAGCTGAAGAAGCCAATTCTTTCTGTTCAGTAGTTTGAAAAGGACAGTCTGCAAGACAGCTGTGCCTTGAGAATTTTAACAACTCACCCTAAACTTACCAGGGAATTCAAGGTCCCTCCTGACTGAGATGCTGATTCATGAGAGAGCAGCATTTCCATACAGGCTTTTTGCAAACCATAAGACTCCTGTAATAGTGTATATTTGTCTTTCACTGGGGACACCAATTCACAGTAAAGCAGGTTACATTCACAGAACTTGACAGTTTATGCTGTAATTTTCCCTGTCTAAAATGGCTGTCAGGAGTCTGCTTTGGGCAACATAAACAGCTGTATGAATCCAAACAATTTAAATCTAAAGACAAACTCAACAGACCTTTCCTTGAACACACTTGATTATTTGCAAATCTCCTGTTGTCATATTTCTGGGTTTGATACAAGAAAATTACCCTTGTGCATGTTTTGATTCATGCAATTCTTATACTAAAGAGACTGATGGCCTGCAAATGGAGGCAGTAGCATCTGCAATCTGCTTCTACTTTTTTCTGCTCAGTAGTGTTTGCCCAGAATTTTGTCAGGGCTTCATCCAAACTGCAGAGAACTTTCCACTTTCTCATAATAACCCAAATTTGGGGGTTTTTAATTATTGACCAAAATTCTTATTTGAAAGTCAGATCATTTTGAGTGGGGTTTTTTTTTGAAGGTTTGTTGTTAAATTTTCCCCAAAATTAAAATTCTCTAATGGGAAAAAAAGAGAATACGTATGTGTGTGTATATATTTTTTCAGCATATGCATTATATGACTATGTATACACCATGAATATCTTTTACTAACTAAATAAATGAGTGTCTTTTACAGAGTATTTCATGAGACTGGGGAGTCTCAGAATATCGTGTTGTTGATTTAAGTGCCTGCATATGAATTCTGGTATCTAGCTTTAGACAGACACTTCACAATTTTCATTTGTTTATCTGGTGACAGAAACATTGCAAAACTTAACTGACAATTTTTTGACTGCTGGAGGATGAAAAACCTGGACGATGGTTGGAGCCCCTTTATATATGCACATGTATATACTTTGTTTTCTCATTTCAGGTCATGGAACGAAAGGAGTGTTTGAACTTCTTTCAGGATGGCGTCGAACCAGAGAGAATCTGCCATTCAAGGACCGAGTAGCAGATGCCTACTCAGATGTCATGGTCTCCTACACAATGACAAGCTCCTTGTATTTCATAGCTTTTGGCATGGGTGCAAGCCCTTTCACCAACATTGAAGCTGTAAAAGTCTTTTGCCAGAATATGTGTGTCTCCATCCTGTTGAACTACTTCTATATCTTCTCCTTCTTTGGCTCCTGCCTGGTCTTTGCCGGCCAGTTGGAGCAGAACCGTTATCATAGTATCTTCTGCTGTAAAATCCCTTCAGCAGAATACCTGGACCGGAAACCTGTGTGGTTCCAGACCATGATGAATGATGGCCATCAGCATACTTCTCATCATGAGGCCAACCCATACCAGCATCACTTTATCCAGCATTTCCTCCGAGAGCACTACAATGAGTGGATTACCAACATCTATGTCAAGCCATTTGTGGTGATACTGTATCTCATTTATGCCTCTTTCTCCTTTATGGGGTGCTTACAGATTAGTGATGGAGCCAACATTATCAACCTTCTTGCCAGTGAGTCTCCAAGTGTCTCCTATGCCCTCATACAGCAAAAGTATTTCAGCAACTACAGCCCAGTGATAGGTTTCTACATTTATGAACCTCTAGAGTACTGGAATGGTACCGTGCAAGAAGACCTAAAAACACTAAGCCAGGGGTTCAATACAGTGTCCTGGATTGAACAGTATTACCAATACCTTCGGGTGGGTAACATCAGTGCAACCAATAAAAGTGACTTTATCAGCATCCTCCAGAGCTCCTTTTTAAAAAAGCCAGAATTCCAGCATTTCAAAAATGACATAATTTTCTCCAAAGCTGGAGATGAGAACAACATAATTGCTTCTCGTTTGTACCTTGTGGCCAGGACTAGTGAAAACACACAGAGGGAAGCAGTGGAATTGCTGGAGAAACTGAGGCCACTCTCTCTTATACAGAGCATCAAGTTCATTGTGTTCAATCCTACTTTTGTTTTCATGGATCATTATGGTTTGTCAGTAACTATGCCTGTCTTGATTTCTGGTTTTGGCATCCTGCTGGTGTTAATACTGACCTTTTTCCTGGTTATCCATCCTCTGGGAAATTTCTGGTTAATTCTCAGTGTCACCTCAATAGAGCTGGGTGTCCTTGGCTTGATGACATTATGGAATGTAGACATGGATTGCATTTCTATACTGTGCCTTATCTACACTTTGAATTTTGCCATAGATCACTGTGCACCCCTGCTTTATACATTTGTACTAGCTACTGAGCACACCCGAACTCAGTGTATAAAGAACTCTCTCCAAGAGCATGGGACAGCCATTTTGCAGAACGTTTCTTCTTTTCTTATTGGGTTGGTCCCCCTTCTCTTTGTGCCTTCAAACTTGACCTTCACACTGTTCAAATGCTTGCTGCTTGCTGGCAGTTGCACACTTCTGCACTGTTTTGTTATTTTGCCTGTCTTTCTAACCTTTTTCCCACCTTCCAAAAAGCACCACAAGAAAAAGAAACGGGCCAAAAGGAAGGAACGAGAAGAGATCGAATGCATAGAGATTCAAGAGAATCCTGATCATGTTACAGCAGTCTGAAAGGCTTAGAAAAAAATAATAGTATATTCTGTTTTTAAAAAAGCGTTGCACAGAGATGCAGGGAAAATAGAGAAAAGATCTCAGCTGCTTGTGCTGGCCAGGTCTGACAAGGCAAAGGAAGATCAAGAAGGGGTATTCATGACACATCAAGGTGCAAACTTTTTTTTAACACAAATAATGAAAGTAAAATAATCACAAATGTTTCCTTTGAATCCTCATTCTCCACAAGGGAAGCGTCTGTTGGCCATTAAGTGTTCCTGAATCTCAAACTGTAGCTCTACTGGGAAATGTTTAATCTGCCATATGTAGGACTGAAGTAAAGACGAAAAAAAGAGTTACCATTAAGTAAACAATAGAGGGAAAGGCAGATTTTTTTTATAAAATTGTCCATGGAAAAGAAAAAGAAATAACATTTCAAATGAGAAAAGGGAACAAGACCAAGAGAGATGAAAAATGCCATGGTATTTTTTTCTTATTTTCTTGAGCAAGTTGGTAAATATGAAACCTATGCACTCGGGAAGTAGATGTTTCAAACAATCTAAGCCAAAGTACTTCCCAATTCCAGTATACCATGTATATCTGTAACACCACAATTAGAGCATTATTGCAATTATAGATGGAAAAACCAAGGGATAAAGATGCTATTTATACAGGAGAAGAAATAATCATAGCCATTTTGAAATTTAACATTTGGTTCCTTCAAATGTGACATACCACTGTTATCTCAAAAGGTCCAGCTGGTAGTTAATACCATACACACATATTGGTAATTCTGAATCGTGAATTTCCCCTTGAACTAACAGATCTCACAAAACTAACCCAGGCCATCACCACTGCAGAAGTGTTTGCAGCTCCTGCAGTGTAACACTTTTGAATTTTAATTTCTCAGTGTTGACATTAAATACTGAATATTAATCAAGCAGGTGCTTTAAACATAATGATGGATTGCATATCACAGTCATAACGTGATCGCGTAACAGCTGAGTAAGCTCTGGAGCACCTGCAGAGAATTATCATTATATATTTGCTCCAACGGATGAAGGAATGTTTGCTGGTCCCTGCAATATGCTGCAGGAAGTGGGACTTTCCCCTTCTTTAAGCAAAACGTCAGTCAAATACTTGCTACACATGCACACACAAAAAAAAAAGATCTTGTAAAGGTTTGCAAGGGACTGGATCAACCGATAGTTTTAAAAAGACAGGGAAGGGGAGGGAAAATTGTCTTTTTTATTATTATTCCTAAATATTTGAGAGTTGATCACCTGCAACATAAAGCTTTGTTAGGGCAGTTGAAATTTCACAAGAAAGTGCAGTACATCCACAGTTATTATGCGACACTAGAAATTGTACTGTAAAGGACTATGAATGACTTTCTGTGCTTTGTAAACTATTCAGCTTAGTAGCCCAAGAGAAGGGATGAAAACAGATCTAGCCATTTCAGTTTGCTCTTTGCCCAGTTCTGCACTGGAGCTTGCCATGTCAATCTCTCCTTCAGTATTTTAAAAGGGCTTGCTTTCTACTCTCTGGAATATGGTATAGCATCACCTCCATGAGCAATGTCTTCCTGAATCTATAGTATCCATGAGGACACTATGTAAAGATATCATTATATGGAGTGTTTATGTCTACTTTGTATTACTTGTGGGCACCTTTAAAAGGCATCTGGAAGCTCTTTGCCTTTCAAAATACGTATACATGTCTATGGCTGGTTAAGTCAGTCTCAAACCTGCAGAGTCTGCTGATAAGGGTGTGTACATATGTTTTACTAAAACGCTCTCTGCAAGAAATTAATTCTTTGCTATGTGACATGTCTCCCTTCTTCCTACTGTAAAATGGTTAGGGAGAGCCAGAAAAAAAATTCACCTGCAGCACACAAAAAAAGCCATTTGAATGCCAGTTCTAATGTTCATGAGCTGCTTCTGTTTCCAAGGAATGCAATTTCACCTCTTCTCTCCACTTTCTGTACTTTGCCATTGTCATTTGCCAAAAATGACCTCTGTGTTTTAGGAGTGGTCAAAACTGTTGATTGTTAGAGGAAACTTTGAAGTGCAACCAGTCTTAAAGAAAGACAAACTTTCTAGACAGGCGAAGCTTCCGAAGTTCAAATCCATATTTAAACTTCAGGGGTAGCTAGATCAAGATTAGTGGTTTGACCCAAAATATTCAAGGGCCAGCCACAAAACTGAGATCTAAATAGTTTAGTAATGTTTAGGATCGGGTGATGTTCTAATGTTGGGTTATGGCTCAGATGTGTCTCCAGTTGGAAAGTATTTACTGAGCTTAATTTGCATCTTGAAGACATTGTGCAATAACCATCCTTTTTAGAACACTTCATTATGAATGTCAAGCTTCCCATACCTCTTCTTACAGTTCCTCCACTGCCCACAGAGATCCTGGGTTGTTCCAGCACTGTGACCCTTGATTATCACTTCTGGAGGTGTCGCCTGGGAAATTCCTGGTCTTCTCTTGTACTGCCCAGATGTATTCCAGGGGTGTCTGCTATGCATTGTATTGAGGAAAATAGCATTTTCCAAAACCATCAGAGCCAGGATTCATCTCATCTAACTTCAGATGTTGTCAATGTAGATATTTATATCAGAGCTTCCTTCATGGACACAGAAGAGGGACAGGCACTTCTGATCCATTTTTCAGTTGCACATTAGGAGTAAATGAATCACACTTTAAAAAATGCATATTTCTGTCCACTGGTGATCAAAGAAGCTCAATGTGATTAGTTCAAACACAGACATTGGCAATGCAGACTCATCCACAGCTGGTGAGATTAAACTGACCAAGTATCAGGTGAAAGAGAAAAGATAATCCTTAGAAATACAACCACAGCTTCTATTTTAGAGATAAATCCCAGGAGTAATTCAGCTCAAATTTTATGTTTAGCTTATGAGGGTTTTATGTAGAACAGATTGTTTAAAAACTGCCCATGGAATTCCACGAGCAGAGAATGGTGAGCCAAGAAATCAGATGTCAGTATTGAAGATGGACTCATAGAAATGAACTAGAGTTTGATGAGGTGTCAAACCAGCTCCTCTCAGTATCATGCATGTGCAGTAGCACTTGTATATACCAGATACCAGATATATAGATCACACTCTGAGACTAGAAACTTTATATCTATGTTGATGTGGGAATGGAGCAGAAAACAAACCAGATGTTCCATGCATGTCATTTTGTTACTTTTTGCCAACCAAGAAAGGCCAGTGCAGCTGTTACTTCCACAGAAAGTGTCTATGGAACAAGGAATCATTTACCTCAAGCTAAAAATAGATTATTTTTTCCCATTTTCCAGTTCACACTGGCATAATTTTGGGGTGGAGAGTCCACACTTTTTATTCCTTTTCCTTTTCATTTTTTGCTTATATTTCTTTCAGTCCTTTTCAATAAATTATATGTTCTTCTGTAGCACCTTTTCAGCTCAACTGGAGCTACATAAGCACCTGTGAAGAAAGGACATTGCTCATGCAAAGCAATTTGACACTGATAAATGCTGCTTATTGGATCTTCATTATAGACTTTTTTTCCCACTTATCACCAGTCCCCTGCAATATTGTGCATATTCCTTTAATGTCTGATTTTATGTTTGGTCTAAATAATCTGCCAAGAAACCTTTGTGCATCTCCTACTTGGTCTGGTTTCATTCCCTCAAAGATTATTGGTTTGAATTCATTGTTGAGATAATTCTGTCAAAGTCAACAGATTTATTGCCATGATATATCTGACTCTGCATGCTTTCTCTCTGATAAGAAGTGAAATCATGACAAATGAATCTTTTACATTGTTGATATGCTTGTTAGCAATATATCTGTCTATAGTCTATAGCCATTGTTGCATGCTGCATTCAGGAGGCTGCAGTGAAGGTATATTTTCTATACACTTTCCTCTGTGGGCTATTTTAACTTTTACTAATCTATTTCTCTGTCTTTTTTTTTAATTAGAGTTAAGTCTTCACCTTTGTAGTCCAGTACTTGATGTAGATTTAGATTAGATGTTAGGAAGAAATTTTTTACTGTGAGGGTGGTGAGGCACTGGCACAGGGTGCCCAGAGAAGCTGTGAGTGCTGCATCCCTGGAATTGTCCAAGGCCAGGTTGGATGGGGCTTTGAGCAACCTGGTCTAGTGGAAGGTGTCCCTGCCTATGGCAGAGGGGTTGGAGCTAGGTGCTCTTTAAGGTCCATTCCAACCCAAATTATTCCATGATTCTGTTTCATAAATTGCCTAACAAGATAACACACTTTTTATGGCCAAGATAGGTATGGATGCATGACACATTGCATGCATAATTTAAGGATATTATCTACAAGGTTATAGTTCTCAACATTTTATTTCAAACAATTCCCATTTAGGATGTAACCTACTACATGTTAGTATTGATTCAAGTTCCTTCAACAAATCTAGTTTTGAATTTTTCTCCACTAAGAAGGAAAAGAACCAGGGGGAAGGAAGAAATATGCAGTAAAGTAGTTGTGTAATCAGACTATTTTTTTTTCCCCCAAAGGCTTTCACTGCTCTACTCTTAATTAAGTCATACTGAGTAGTGACTCTAGCATAATTGAGATTTATTTCAATGGAGTTATTCCATATTTCACTATGACAAGAGCTTGGCTTATTGTCTTTATGCAAGTACCATGTTAAGTCTCTTTGATTAATTTTTCAGTAATTATAAACTTTAATAAGTTATTTTTCATTGCAACACTAGTTTTTTGAGTACCTCAAGCTCTCATTTGATGTTCTAGGAAACACTGTAAGGAAGCAAATTTAGGCAGTCAGTGAGCAAGAGACATGTTGCAGTGTTGGGGAAAGAGGCAGTGTATCCTCCAAAAAGGCTTTGAACAAAAACTTATGCTCAGGATATCTCAGAAGATTAAGGTAAAGTGCAAACCAAGTGAAATGTTGTTTGCAGGATAGTGTAATCAAATTGTAGACAACCAAAACTTTGATTCTTCTTCCATAGCTTCTTACATAGGCAAGAAGGCATTTGAACAGGGA